TGTCACTGTTAAGAACGCAGTTCTGACTGACTGCTTATACCATTTATTTAACCACGCAATTTCAACATAAAACTGCAACAAGAAATATAACAATACAATGAAATACAATATAGGAAAATCGAAATTACATTGGATAACAAAACGTATCAAAGTATACGAAATCAGTCTATCGCGATAGTAATACCATAGTGTATATAATATGTTGACTAAATTACGTCTATGACACCAAACCAACTATATTCCCTCACAGTACTAAACAGTAACCACAAAATACTGACTAATGTCAAAATAAGCACAGTGGATGTAAGGAACTCACATCGCTAAATATTACCAATAGCATGACAATACTGTACACATACTGGGTACATACGCTGGTAATAGCAAGTACACAATGTCAGATTAATACTACAAATGTCTAACAAAAGAGATCTACAAAATCACAATAGCTGCCTACTACATAAGTGCATGTATACAACCTAACTATAATAGGAAATACGAATAGAACATGCTCTGTGGCTAGCTACTATTTATACAGGCATAGGAAATACGTGTGCTTTTGACAAATGCATCATACAGTCTACCGATCGACGACTCATAGAAAGATCATACGGCTACAAATTACACTGTGAAAGTAACAATGGCTCGGAATAACAGACAATACACTAGTTCTACTAACCTCAGTTCCCGAGTACGTAAAAACATGGTAAAAGATACAAATACGTGTAGTTTCGATCTTGCGCTGCATTCACTGTTTATAAACAAACCGCCATTAAAACGAATCTCACTGAAATGATGTCCGTACAAGATCACGCAAAACTACGCGAGAGTTGAGCGAGAGTTAGCTTAAATAAATTTAGAACTGTGTTCGTTACATGGCTCTTCTGGATTGTGATAAACAATACAAACTCTAAAACACTTTCTATTAATTACTGGCTAACTTAACAAAAGCTAAACTATCAAATTCAATAAACAAAGTTACAACTCTGGTAATATCTAAACAGATTATAAATCTTTAATAAAGTTCAGTCATGGTTAAAACTGATCGCTTATAGTTCAGTTACTGGCTCCCTCGACGGGATTGTGCTCTGGTCTATACAACATGATGAGCTTTGTTATCGGCCGGTCATACAACGCCATACAACGTCATACAATTGCCAATCTTCAGGCATACCTTCCGTACTAATCCATCCTTACTCGGCAATGCTTCATTACCATTGCACGTGGCCACTGACATCTGGGGGTATTCTCCTCAATGACAAGAACTATGTCTCCTTTAATCAGATTCAGTGTTTCATCTTGCCATTTTTGTCTCAGCTGTAAAGTAGGTAAATATTCCAACCGCCATCTACGCCAAAATTCATTGGCAAGATACTGAACTCTGCGCCATCTCTTTCTACAATATAAATCCTGAGGTACAAAAGCACCTGGCAGAGGAAGAATAACCTTTGATTTCTGTGTGAGTAACTGACTTGGTGTAAGAGGTTCACCAGTATCTGTAGAAGACATATCTAGGTAGGTCAGTGGTCTGCTATTCACAATGGCCTCAGCTTCTGTCAAGAAGGTGATAAGTTCATCATCTAACTGCTGACTCTGCTTTTCAAGAATTCCTGACAGAGCTGTTCTCACCGATTTTATAAGACGTTCCCAGACACCACTCATATGACTTGCAAGTGGTACGTTAAATTTAAATTCTATCCAATCGGTGCCATCCTTGAGGAGCTCCCTCTGTATCTGGTTGTTGCTTAATTCAGCAAGGGCAGACTCAAGTTCACCTTTAGCTCCTACGAAGTTGGATCCTCTATCGCATCTAAGACTTCTGACTGTTCCTCTACGGCATACAAATCTGCGATATGCATTCAGGAAGGAATCAGTGGTGAGTGAATAGGCAACCTCTATGTGTACTGCTCTAGATGTAAGGCATGTAAAAATAACGCCCCATCTTTTTTGATCACTTCGTCCTACTCGTGTATAGAAGGGACCAAAATAGTCAACACCGCTATAAGTGAATGGTGGATGTTCTGCTAAGCGGTCTTCTGGTAAGTCTGACATCTTTTGTATTACTGGTTTGCCACTGAGCTTCTTACATGGGATGCATTTCCAAAAGCAGGATGCTACTGCTACACGTGATTTCAAGATCCAATATCCATTGACACGTATTTCATTTAACATGTGTGTTCTACCTGCATGCGCTGTGCGCTTGTGGTGGTGTCTTACTAATACTGAAGTTATATGGGATCTAGATGGCAACACAACAGGATGCTTAAGATTAGGTGGAAGATTTGCTCTTCGTACTCTGCCGCCAACATGTATCAAACCATCAGGAGCAAGATATGGATCCAATTTGCGCAACTGACTGTTGCCTTTCAAACGTGACAGTTTCTTTGACAAACTATGATGCTCTTCTGCAAAATGTGCAGCCTGCAGTTCTTTTAGAATTAATTGTTCTGCATGCTGGAGCTCTTCAACTGTTATCGGTGATACTGATACCAATGGTATGCTTCTGGAGCGAAGTCTTTGCATATATCTGATACACAGTGCTACAGATTTCTTCATTCTGTGCCAATCTGAGAAATAATCAAGCCTTTGTAAGAAACTGGCTGGCTCAGTTTTGATACTTTGTGTAGATAAGACAACAGACTTCTTCACTTCAGGATCATCTGTATTTAATGCAGTGGTACAGCTACCAGTATTTAGTGGCAATGGGTCTGAACTCTGAAGGAATACTGGACCTGTCCACCATAATTTATGGTTTAAGAGATCATCTACTGAGGAACCTCTTGATGCTACATCAGCTGGGTTAGACTTAGAATCGATATGGTTCTATTGTAAGACTTCAGTATGATTTCTTATCTGTTGTATGCGATTTGCTACAAAGATATGAAACTTGTGTGCGGCATTGTCTGTCCAGAAAATATGTTTGGCATCATAATCTAACTCGCGTTTCAGGAATTCACTAATTTTCACAGCAGTGACTGCAGCTGTGAGCTCTAGTCTGGGTATGGTTAGTTGTTTCGTAGGAGTTACACGAGATTTAGCCATCAACAAGGTGCTATAAATCTTACCATTTGAATCAATAATGCGTAGATATGAACAGCTGCCATATCCATTCTGTGATGCATCTGAGAAGTGATGCAACTCTCTCACAATTGGCTCCTGCAAACCTTCTGGTTTCTCGCATCTTGTTATGTAAAACTGTGTCAATTCAGGTAACTGGTTTCTCCATTTAGACCACTGTATACATATTTCATCAGGAACTGGATCATCCCAGTGATGTCCATCCCGACAAAGACTCTGCAATATCTTCTTTCCTTCTAGGAGACATGGCGAGATGAAACCCAATGGGTCAAAGCTTGATGCTACTGTGGATAAGATACCTCTACGAGTGAGTGGATTATCTTTCAACTCAATGCGAAATCTGAGCATGTCATTCTCAACACACCATGTGACACCTAGAGTTCTTGAAATTGGTAATTCTTCATTCAGGAAGTTGAAAGACTGGATGTCTTTGGCACGATACTCTGGTGAAATTGTTGTCAACACCTCTTTATTAGTGGATAAGAAGTTTAAATCCTCCTTTACCACAAAGACTAGTACTCTCCTTGAACAACTGTATTGCTTGTTGTGCTGTCTTTACAGACTTGATACCATCATCTACATAGAAGTTACAGCGAACAAAGTCAGCGCCCAGTTTTCCACACTCTGCTTCAAATAAGTCTGCTGTGAGACGTAATGCAAAATTGGCTACTCCAGGTGAAGAGGTGGCCCCAAAAAGATGAACTCTCATACGGTATTCTACTATAGGACCTTCAATGTTACTGTCCTCAAACCATAGGAATCGAAGATAGTCTCTATGTGGTGGGCTCACTAATACCTGGTGGAACATTCCCTCTATGTCGCATACTACTGCAATCGGTTCCTCACGAAAGCGACATAATACTCCTATCAAACTATTCAACTGATCTGGACCACTAAGTAGACACTGGTTCAGACTGATTCTTTTATATTCACTGCTACAGTTGAAAACAACTCTGAGCTTATTCGGTTTCTTGGGGTGGTATACCCCGTGTCCTTTTCTATCTCAGTAGCTGGAACCTTTTCTGCATAAGATTTCTGGATCATATCTTTCATGCTCGTAATGTAATGATTTCGATACTGTACATTTCTGCCTAACTTCTTCTGTAAGCCTAAAAGACATCCAAGAGCAACACTATGATTATTTGGAAGTCTTATATCAAAATGCCCATCTTCATTCTGTAAAGTGTTCTATTGCAAAATCTTCAGAAAGCGGAAAACTTCCAATAAAATCTTGTCATCTACATGACGCTCATGAAATTCAAGTTCCATCATACTTCTCACTTCTTCAGTAGTCACCTCACGTGCTCTTGTGCGATAAGCAAAACGACATGTCTTTGTTGTGATCTTGGTATTCTTCACTAGTCCAGTGACACCCCATCCCAAATTTGTTCTGGTTGCATATGGTTCATTGTCACCAGCAGTGATAATTTCCTTTGGAAT